TAATGTTTCTAAAATTGCCAACACAGCAGAATTGCTCCGGTCAGAAAAATTCACTAGTTAGTATAGCAGCAAAGTTATGTCATTTGGTAAACAGCATATTTAGCGTAACTTTACTATGATGCTAGATAATTTTCCATCAAGCTGTAGTAAATCAACCTGTATGTGTATGTGACTAAATTATAATAATGTATTTTACTTAGAGAGTTAAAGCGCCTGAATTTGCCCATAAAAATATGTATTGCATATACAACCAGAAGCATATGAAAGCAGCAGAGGTGTACCTGTTATTTGCATGCAGAGCGAAACTGTGTTTTGGCATATCCCCCAGGAATTCTAAAATAGTTTTGTGTATTCAGATACCCCTTGCTATCTCCCTGCTCAGTCTTGTGTGTATTCCCTGACCCCTCAACTCTCTTTTCTTTCTTTTTTTTTAACCTCCTTGTATGTCTGTCCTAAAGTGCCTTAAACTATTGTTTATCTCTCTTAACACCCCTCTTTGTGCCATGTGCATGCCCTAGCCCTCCCCACATCACAATTCACTATTCAGTTAACAAAGATCTAGAAACTGGAACATACTTGGAAAGAATCACTAAAAAGGTCTGGCCCTTCGAATTAAAATGTGTTTAGGAAAACACTGGCAATCTGAGTACCTTGCCAATAGCCATTATTTTCTTAGTGAAAGCATTTCCTAGAAGTTCTTCAGGGAATGTTTAACTAGATTATATTAAAATTCACATTCCCAAGTTAATGTACAACTTAGTAAAGTCATGAGTATTTTATTTGTTTTTGGAAACACTCCTATTGCGTTTTTCTCAAAAATGCCTTTTTCTCCATTTGCCAGTACTACTGAATGAGGCATCAATTCCCTACAATAAAAGGTGGGTAGGTTAGTTGGTTGTCTCTCTGTCTGTCTACCCAAATATATATATATAAAGAGAGAGTGAGAATGAGAGAGCGAGAGAGAGAGCAATTTTAATGAGTGAAATAAGGAAGTTTTCTGTTAATAGGATATCAATACACAACATGTTAAACACAAATAAGCAGCGTCTTATCATGAGCACTCCTCTTAACGACACACAGTATGAAATAAATGGAAAGGGTAAATGTAAGGTGGAGCAAAAATATTATTTAAAATATTTATTAAGTTACACAAATGAAAAATACTCCATTAGAAAGTTAGTGAAATAAATAAGTGTAACCATATAACAATTTAAACACCCAAATCCCAAAGATAATGGACTTTGATGCAGCGCAATCTGTTGATTAATGTTTGACTATGATTTGCATATATTTGAAATTCAGGCAAAATGCTCATGAATTTGGATTTTATAAGTTCCCTTGTGTAACAGTTATGTATTGTATTGTGCCTTTATGATTTATTATGTGTTTGTGTTTTATGCACTACTTTGAATGCCTCACCATAAGTTAAATGTAGTACTGTAGAAAGTTAGTCCCAATTTAAAAATAAAGAAATTATCTATTTCTTTTTGGCTCAGTGACAGAGTTTAAGGACCTGTCTCCTTGGTGTTTGTGATCAGCTTCAGAGTTGTAAGACCTGTGGGCTGGGCCTCAGAGCCAAAAAATGTCTGTATAAAACAGTGCTGGAAACAGGCAGAGTGATCGCTTCCTGCCTGAGTGGACAGAAGGATGACTTCCTGCCTGGAAGATGGTAGAAGTCCCTGGTTCCATAGGAGGAGGGACGGACAGTGTAGTGGGACAGGACTGGATCCCAAATGAATCTCCCCCAGTTCCTCTTATAACTAGGATATAAGGATGCAGAGACATGAAGGAGGAAAATTAGAATGCAGAAGAGGGAATGTAGGAATATTGAGTAAAGGAGTGGGGACTGAGAAGTACCTTAGGACATGGAAAAAATAGAGACTTGGAGCACAGACAAGGCAAAAGTTAGCAGAGATAAAATTCAGGATAAGCTTGAAAAATAAATATATAGATGACTACAAGAGGAAGTAAAGATAGAGAGACAAAATAGATTGGTAAAAAGGTTGGAAACATTGTTGGGAAAATAAGAATGGTGTAAGCAAAGGAGACAGGTTTAAGAAAATGAGATGAACAAAAGAAAAACGTCCTAGGGCGGGACCTGACCACCATGCCAAGTGGTCGCACTTGGAGTGAGCTCCGGACCAAATTAGAACAAATTAAACCACAAAAGACGCTTACCTTAAGGCACCTTGTTCCAATAGCGTGGGGTGCACCCTGTATCACCCCATGGCACTCTTGTAGAAGTCTCAGCTCTTGACTGGCAGTCTAGCCCTGAAACTCTGCTGTGGCCTGCATATGGTTGCGGATAGGGGGAGAGGTGGCCACTCTCCCCACTGCTAATCGTGTCGGAATGAGTGGAAGTGTTAGGGATTCCTGTCATCCTGGCATTTGCTCATAGGCTTTGGCAAACGGGTAAATCCTGAAAATACCCCATTTACACAAGGCCTAACTTATAGATTCGGTCAAAATGGCGGACGCATTACAGACCACCGCCACACAAGACCGTACAAAGCCATTCATTATACGGCTCAACAAGCTCTTTGAGGAGTTTTGGCTGCGACTGGACAGCAGATGGAGCAGGTCTGTAGAGAAGCAACACAGCGACAGTAGGCTGCAAAACTTACCTCCAGTTCACCATCCCACGCCAGTTCTGATCCTGCAGAAAGTCTCCGCACAGTAAGCCTGCAGCAGGGGAATGAAGTGCTCTGACCCACGGAACTGGCCAAGAAACCAAGAGGGCCATCACCCGCTTTTCAAAAAACACCTTTACTTACTTGGGAATAATTATTCCAACAGATATAAAAAAAAATTGTAGAATGTAACTTCTTGGATATCTTAAGATCTATGAACATGTTAAAAGAATGGAGAAACAAAGCTATCTTAGTATGGAAGAATAAACATCATAAAGGCGTATGTTTTACCAAAGTGGGTTTATTTATTTAGAATGTTATCATTTAGCTTTCCAATCCCTTGGTAACTGTTAATCCAACAAAGCTGGAGGAACTTTGTGAGGAAGGGAAAAATACCTCGTATTAGTATTGACATATTGTCAAAAAACACCAAAATGGGAGGTTTAAGTTTTCCTATTGGTCAACAATATCATGACGCGAGTATTCTATACCATATCAATAAGATGTATAACCCAGCTTTTAATAATGAAGATTGGTATTATTTAGAGACAAAAAACGCAGAGTGTAAGAAAGGATTTATCCTCTTTAATTTGGAATTGTGGTAATAAGAAAAATACACAAGTAGGTAAATATGGCTTTATAAAACATAGTTACATAGTTACATAGCTGAAAAGAGACTCGTGTCCATCAAGTTCAGCCTTCCTCACAAATGTTGTTGCTGTTGATCCAAAAGAAGGCAAAAAACCTGGTCTGAAGCGCTTCCAATTTTGCCACAAACTAGGAAAAAATTCCTTCTTGACCCCAAAATAGCAGTCAGATGTCTCCTTGGATCAAGCAACTATTACCCCACTAATTAGAAATTATATCCCTGTATGTTATGTTTTTGTAAGTATTTATCCAATTTCAGTTTAAACATCTGTATGGACTCTGACAAAACCACCTCTTCAGGCAGAGAATTCCATATCCTTATTGTTCTTACTGTAAGAAAACCTTTTCTTTGCCTTAGATGAAATCTCCTTTCTTCCAGCCTAAATGTGTGACCTCGTGTCCTATGTATAGCCCTGTTTATGAATAGATGTCCAGATAAAGGTTTGTACTGGCCCCGAATATATTTGTATAAAGTTATCATATCCCCTCTCAGGCGCCGTTTTTCCAAACTAAACAGATTTAATTTTTTTTTAACCTTTCTTCATAACTAAAATGCTAAATTCCTTTTAGCAATTTTGTAGCTCGTCTCTGGACCCTCTCCAGTGCCATGATATCCTTCTTTAGAACAGGCGCCCAAAATTGCACAGCATATTCAAGGTGTGGTCTTACCAGCGATTTAGAAAGCGGCAAAATTATATTTTCATCCCGAGAATTTATGCCCCTATTTATACATGACAAAATCTTACTGGCCTTAGCAACTGCAGACAGACATTGCATATTGCTGCCTAATTTGTTGTCTATAACAATTCCCAAATCCTTCTCGTGTGTGGTTATCCCTAATTCACTACCATTTAGTGTGTAAGTTACTTGTGCATTCTTAACCCCGAAGTGCATCACTTTGCATTTCTCTATGTTGAATTTCATCTGCCATTTTAATGCCCAGTCCCCCAATCTATCCAAATCTCTCTGCAGCAAAGCAATATCCTGCTCACATTTTATTACTTTACAAAGTTTTGTGTCATCTGCAAACACTGATACATGGCTTTCAATGCCTATTTCAAGATCATTTATAAATATGTTAAATAGAAGTGGTCCCAAAACAGAACCCTGAGGGACACCACTTACCACTTTTGTCCAGCCTGAAAATTTACCATTAATTACAACTCATTGTACTCTATCCTTAAGCCAATGTTCTACCCAAGAACAAGAATATTCATCTAGACCAATTTCTTTTAGTTTGAAGACTAACCTATTGTGAGGAACCGTATCAAATGCCTTGGCAAAATCCAAGTAGATCACATTCACTGCAACACCCTGATCTATACTTCTACTTACTTCTTCGTAGAATGCAATTAGGTTAGTTTGACATGACCTATGTTTCATAAAACCATGCTGATTATTGCTAATAACAAAGTTCTTCCCAATGAATTCCTGAATATTATCCCTTAATAGCCCTTCAAATATTTTCCCAGTTACAGAAGTTAAGCTCACAGGTCTATAAATTCCAGGCAAGGATTTTGAACCCTTTTTAAATATAGGAACAACATCTTCCTTCCTCCAATCCTCCGGTACAACACCTGAAACAAAAGGATCTTGAAAAATTAAATACAGAGGTTCACTTATTTCCCCACTTAGCTCCTTAAGTACTTGTGGGTGAATACCGTCAGGTCCCGGAGCTTTATTTACATTAATTTTCTTTAATAGCTGTAGCACCTTGTCTCAAGTTATCCAATCACAAGTTGTTTGCAAGTTTTTTGCAGCAATCATTTGCATATCTCTTGCCATACGATCCTCATTAATATATACTGAAGAAAAATAGTTATTTAAAATTTCTGCTTTTTCCTGGTCTTCATTAGCTAATAAACCCAACTCTGTTTCAAGTGTACCTACACTTTCATTTTTTTTTTTTTTAGAATTGATGTACTTGAAAAAAATTTTGGGGTTGGTTTTGAATTCTTTAGCTATCAATTTCTCATTTTCTAGTTTAGCCACTTTAATTGCCTTTTTGCAAGCGTTATTGGCTTCCTTATATCTTAAATAGAATGCCTTTGATTTGTCTGATTTAAATGCTTTAAATGCCCTTTTCTTATTTTTAATCTCTTGTTTTACTTCTCTACTAAGCCACATTGGTTTTAATTTGTTTCTTTTATATTTATTACCCAATGGTACATACTGAGAAATGTACCTTTCTAATATTTGTTTGAATAGTTTCCATTTATTCTCAGTGTTTTTATCACTAAGGAGTTTATGCCAGTCGATATGTTGTAGAGCTGCCCTAATCTTATTGAAACATAACCATATAGTACCAGTATGGAACAACTTTAAAAAAAAAAGCCAACCTATCCAATAAAATTCAGAAATTTCAAAATATTCAAGAAATTGAAAATAACTTGGAAAATATAACATTAGAAAACTGGAGGAGAACAGGATTACAAAAGGTGCATCAACTTGTTGATAATATCTCTATTAAGAAATGTGCAGAGTTGCAATACACCTATGGTCTGCCTGCACGGGAGGCATTTAATTATATTAGAGTGAAAAGCTTTTTGAGGGAACATGCCCTGTTGGAAGATAATGAGGTAGTATTGATGCTGGAAAAAATATTGCTGCAGAAAAACAATACAAAAATGTTGGCTAAATGTGTAAAAGTAATTAAAGTATTGGATAATAAAGAAAGGAAAAACAGAAATATTACTAGATGGGAAAGAGATTTGCATCAGTCTCTTGATGAGCAGTCATGGAATTCAGCATTCTCTAGCTTTATTAAGAATATCCACTATCTTTCACTAATAGAAATGCACTTTAACTGTATTAATAGATGGTATTTTGTTCCAACCAGAATAGATAAAATGTTTCCAAATAGTGACAATAAATGCTGGTGATGCGAAGAAGAGATCTTATATCCATATGTTTTGGGAATGTAGAAAAGTACATACTTTATGGTCATGGGTTTCTGAGTTCATCAAAAAAAGCATTAAAGACAAACATTAAAATGTCCCCCAAAATTGCTTTATTAAATATGAATGTGTCTGAATGTTGAAAGGAACACGCATATTTAATAACTCATATCTGTGCAGCAGTTAAGATTTTAATTGCAAGAGGTTGGAAGCAGAGTCATGATTTCTCAAAATCAACATTTTCCAATCAAGTGTTATGGCAGAAAATGGTTTGAGGGGGCAGCGGAAAAATCAAATGTTATATCACATTATGTCTTGGAAATAGCACACAAAATATTGCAGTAGTCCCTTTTACAGAAAATAATGAAGACAAAATATCCTTGTACTCGGCTGGCAGCCAACAAGATTCAAGTTTATGTTTTAACTACAGAAGTTTAGCCGGGTTTCCTATAGGGAGTATCGGCATGCTCCAGTAGTTATTGTTTTGTTTATGTATCACAAAGAATTAAATGCCATGGCTATTATGGTCTTGTGTTTTAAATGTTTTATATATTTTTGTTAATAAAAATAAAAAAAAAGAAGAATCAATTTCTATAAAGCTGCACTTCCTAATATACTGCAGAGTGTCAAAACATATTCCACTCAATAATAAACTGCACACACACACACATATGTACTGATGAATGCGAAACATAAAGTGAACCACAAAAAACTGTGTAAATGTACACGCTACAATAAAACATAATCAAGTGTATAAATATTTTGTGTACAAATATTGCCTCTAGTCCATGCCAGCTGCATTACTTACATGAGAATACACTATACATACATAGGCGTGCGCACGGGGTGTGCTGGGTGTGCCTGGGCACACCCTAATCCCTGCGGCACGCCTATGTATTGAGACCGGCAGGGGAGATCTCAGGATCTCCCCTGTCGGCTCATGCAGAGCCGGCGCTATCCGAGCGCCTGCTCTGCTCAAAGCCTCCCTCTCCACCAGCCCACAGCAGCATGGAGGGAGGCAGGAGAGGACCCGGGAGCTCTGATCTGAGCGTTGCCACGGTAACGCTCAGATCTCGCGAGAGTGAACTCTAGCCCCGCAGGCTAGAGTTCACTCTCCACTGGACCACCAGGGATGGCAGCAGGAACAAGGTAAGAAGGGAGGGGGGATATTAAGTAATCTTACATAAGGTAAGAAGGGAGGGGGGATATTAAGTAATCTACCCCCACCTCCACAATCACCCAAACATACAGCACCCACACACACATAGCACACACACCCATACTGCACCCACACATATACAGCACACAAACAGCACCCAAACACACAGCACCCTCTCACACACAGTACACTAACAGCATCCTCACAAACACACACACACACAGAACACTAACAGCACCCTCACAAACACACACACAACCAGCCCACTAACAGCACCCTCACAAACACACAACACCCACACACAGCACACAAACAGCACCCTCACACACACAGCACCCTCACACACACAGCACCCTAACAGGACCCTAACAAACACCCTCACACACACACAGCACACAAACACCACCCTCACAAACACGCATACTACCAGCACCCTCACACACACACACATCACACTAACAGCACCCTTACACACACAGCACACTAACAGCACCCTCACAAACACACACAGCATCCTCACAAACACACAGCACACTAACAGCACCCTCACAAACACACAGCACACTTACACACAAACAGCACACTAACAGCACCCTCATAAACACACGACACCCACACACAGCACACAAACAGCACCCTCACACACACAGCACACTAACATGACCCTAACAAACACACACACAAACACCCTCACACACACACAGCACACAAACAGCACCCTCACAAACATGCATACTACCAGCACCCTCACACACACATCACACTAACAGCACCCTCACACACAGCACCCTTACACACACACACAGCACCATCACACACACAGCAGTGTATGTATGTGTGTGTGTGTGTATATGTATATATATATATATATATATATATACATACATTCATATACACGCGGCGTTCATATACATGCAATAGGCTGCGCACGCCTATGTATACATATCATTGTCAGCAAGGCGTAAAAATGTCAGGCTTCTTGGGTCCATATTGTGGCATTCCTTAAAATGGGCTGACACACTGTGCTGCATAAAACCTTTTAAGATATTATTCACATGATCACTCATCCTTTTGTGGAGTGGCCGTATAGTGCGTCCTACATAATGTAGACCACATGGACATATTAAAAGATAAATAACGTTCCTCGTAAAACGTGATAAAATCATTAATAAAAAAGGTATTAATTTTTGTTCTAAATGTTTTAATACCCTTCAGACTCTTGTTCCTACTGTATTTGCAGCCAGTGCACTTGTTACATGAATAAAATCCATTCTTGTCATTTAAAAAATGTTTCCATTCCTCTTTTTGGAGGGGATTAGGGGTTAAAATTAAATTAAAATTTGGGACACCCCAAAAAGTTATAAAAGGTTTATCTGGGATTATCTTGGCCAATTCGTTATCTTTTTTTTAGCATATGCCAAATCTTCTGACAGTCTAAGTACGGATTTATTTTCAAAACCCAATGACTCTAATAGCCTGAAGTTTTCATCCTTTTGAACAGCTTCGTTCCATCCCATACAGTCAATTTCTTAGAGTTCACAGAATCGTCAGTAATGAAACACTGTTGGACATAACGCCTTACACATATGTCACAGAATTTCATTGAGATAGGTTACAACCCACGACTTCTTCAGATTTCCAAACAAAAAGTGGAAGCTATGAACAGAGAAGGCTTGCTCTCCTCCACACCCAAGACCAAATCCAATAGAATTCCATACACAAGTATATACTCACCACTTTCTTCCCAAATTCAGGACATTGTATGTAAAAATTGGCATATTTTGCAGCTTGATAGGCAGATTGGCCATCTGTTCACAGATCCATCTATATTCACACTTAAGAGGAACATGGTAGTTAACGCAGACAGCTTTACACCAAGTAAACAAACATTTTTGTCAAAACCCACTTATGATACTTACCCCTGCCTTTCATGCAAAAAAGGCACATGGATCATCAAGAGGGAATACTGCACACACCCCAAGACAGGTAAACAGATTAAACTAAAAGGCTTTTTTTACCTGCCAGACTTATTTCATAGTCTATTTTCTTAAATGTCCATGTGGCTTGGTATGGGCAAAACCATACACCGCGGCATGCTGGGAAATGTGGAAAGATGGTGGCAGGACTACAGGAGGACAGTTCTACACTTTGGGCAGGGGGGGTGGCTTTGGACTTATCCACTGTCTATTTTGTATATAAATGTTGTAAGGGGGGAGGGACATGATGCATTGACAAAGGGATTACCCCGAAACATTTGTTATTTGTCCTCCAAATAAATGTCAGTAGCTCTTTGGTTTGTGCACACAGCAACTACTTGCGCAACCTCTATTTTTACTATTTGTTCTTTGGATTTTCACTGCCTGAGCAACAGTGGGGGGCTTCATGGTGCATAGTGAGTACTATTTTGCTTTGAAATTCTATGTATTTTTTCTGGAGTTTTTTCCAGTTCCTCATATATTTAATTTTTTGGGCAGCTTAGTTACTGCTTGTAGGGATTTTCTCCACAGCAAAGTGGATCTGGAGAGATCTCTGAATAATGTGAGGTCTGAGCCCCCAAAGTGATAGGCAGATGCATTCATAGTCGAGGCTTGTTTAAGCTATTTGCTCTGTAGTGACTGGAAGGGACCCAGGCCAGGGTTTTAGGACCCGATAGTTGTAATCCAGGTATATGGCTTTTTGCCTTTGCTGGAGGCAGTATGGAATTTAGGAACCTGCAAAGGTAGTGTGGTCAACAACGTCTTCGTTGGAATGGCGGACAGGTTTCACTGCTGCTTAGAATCCTCCAGGACAGCTAGTCTGCCTCCTATATTGAGGTTGGCCTGCTTCAGCTTGTCTACCTCAGCTTTCATGTCATCATGTTTGCCTCTGGTAGTATCACCGTCATCTTCCAGTGCTCTCCTCTGGGCTGTCATAACCCACATACCCTCATCCTCATAAACAGCTCAATGTCGGCTGCGAGGATAGCCTTCAACTCGGCCAGCGTGTTTTGTATGTCAGCTTTGCTGCCAGGTATAAGGTCAGGGCGAGTTTCAGGGTTCATTCTCCTAGACTCCTGTCCTCAGTGGCAGGGTTCTTCTACAGTCTCCTCACTCTGCAGTATGCTGAGAGTTGTCCTGTTCACTCTACTCTGAGGCGAGTTCAGAATCTTCCTGCGCGGGCGCCATATTAGAAGGCTGCTGCAGTAGTGTAACTTGGAGCAGAGTCCCAATATATGTGGATGATGAGGCTATATCACTCCTGTGCAGTTAGGTTTTCTTTCTCATAATGTCACGACAGCTTTTGGGTAAGTATAAAACACTTTTGGTGCAGTCAGGCTGTTTTTTTTGCGATCTCTCTTGGAACCTCCCGGCATGTGTGTCTGCTTTGTTCTGTGGCTAGCTCCGCTCCCCTAAAAAGATGATTTACTCACCTACTTCCAACGCCGCTTGTGGCTCCTTGCGTCTTTGTGGCCACTCCTCAGATGGTGCTTCCACATCCTATGCCTAAATGTAAGCACTGACTTTTGTCTGAGGTATTGCTGCTTGGGGTATTGCATGTGTGTGTTTGCGGGGGGATGGGTTTGTCAGTTGTGTTGTGTTTGTGTGGTGCTTGAGAAGCTGTGCGGGTGCTTGTATGTGGGCTGTTTGTAGTACATGTATGAGGTGGAGATTTCTTGTGCGTTTTTGTGTGTGTTTCAAATACATGCTCCCAGACAGACAATCACAGACACATAAATACATTAAAGCTGCATTCCAGATACACTTCCCTAATGCACAATGCCAGGGCACACACAGCTACACATTGCCACACATACTGCTAGTCTAACAACCAATGCTACACACACACACACACACAAATAGAAACAAACTGCAAGACACAAACATTAACAATGTTAAACACAAATATTGCTGCCACTAAGGATACTTTTCTCTCGTTTTCAAGTGTGTCCTGGGCTTTCGACATTGCTGTTATTTTTAGCCAACCTCCTTTTTGCTTACCATTTAACAGCAGAAGGGTAGTTGGTCAGGTATGGGGCAGGGACGGGGGTTTCTCTCCTGCCCCATGGTTTCTTCTACTCAAGAGCTGGAAGGAAGTGCAATCAAGTACAGATATCAAGAAAAAGTTAAATTCAGAGTATTCAGTGGCAGGGAAATCTTCCCCAGCTTGGCTTTTGTGCCATGAAAAGGCACATTATGTGCCATACATGGCACACATGCCAAAGGTTCTGTCCAAGCATAATGCAGTCCTATTCAGTTTTAATACCATATTGATTTGTTCTTTCAGAAATAAACTACAATAAGAGAAATACCAGTTTTATTTTATTATGACTGAAAAGTAACAGAGTAAACAGTTTTTACTGGCAAATTCTATCACCTGTTGTGTGTATCGAGCTAGAGTACATGTTGATTACGTATGGTGTGTATGTTTAACAATATAATGAATAACATGCAAGGAGTGCTATAGAAAGGAGCAGAGCTGGCCTTTTCTTGTGGAATGTGTTTTTATCACTGCTATTTACACTATGAAGCCCTTCCCTGCTGAAGCAGGCTCTAGAGTATTCTGGCAGATTTAACTCATTCCCTTTAATGAGTCTTTAAATGTGCTGTGTCTACATGGTAGAAAATGTTTTTTCTGTATAGGTGTAAGTTGCGTTTTTGGGGGAAGCACTAATTCCTGGAATGCTTTCTTCTTTAACAAGTATCTAATAGGGCCTACACTGAAAATATTAATAGAGCACCATTTCAAGCAATAGAGTTGCATCTCAAAATTTAGGTACCTTGTCAGCTAGAGAGTCCAATTATTCTTAAAGCAACACTCAAGTGTTACAAATTTATTTGTAAACTATTTTGCCAGGAAGGATACTTTTCTCTCATTTTCAAGTCCTGGGCTTTCAAGTAAAACTACTTTATTTTTGATATGAAGTGTTTAAAACTCAATTCCAAAAAAAAGTGTTGACATACTTTTAATCCAGTGGTAAGAGATCTCCTGGCAAATCCCATACTTCTCATAAAAAGTCATTGGGAGGCGGGGTACATGCGCAGAAATTGCCATGCTGTACCGGCGATGCTTCTCATAGAGAAGCTTTGAAACAAATATTTCTCTATGAGATTGCCTCTCATTCATAATGTGCTGCTGCTGCAGCTGCAGCACCCTCCTGTCCATCTTAAAATCGGGACTGTTATAAAGTGAATAAGATGGGAAACTCTGTTAACCATAAGCTGAAGTGAATTGTGTTATGTATAGATTGATAATTCCGTTTTAATCATTCTGTTTGATGATTTAAATTGTTGGTGGGGGATAAACTACTTTTAAGATCACTCACCATAGATGAAAATCCTTTAACCGGTGTATGAGTAATTTGACTGAAACTGAAAACAGACCCACGTAACAGTTCGTTTTGTGGGTATTTCGAGCATTGTATTTTTTATTACTTTAATTTCATTTTTGTATATTTTTATACATTATCTAAATAATTTATTTGATCCAGGAACATATTGACACCTTTTCCCTTTACAGTTTATTTACAGATGATGCAATGGCTGATGATTTTTGCAGTTTATCCATTTGAGAGATAAATGAAAGGTATAGCCGCTCATGAAGAATCATATTAATTTCTATGTAGCTGTCAGATTTTTGATTACCATTCTTTATCAAAATCTGCCTCTAGGCTGCTTTATTTATTTTGTCAAAAATGTGTTTCATCTTACGGGTTACTTTTGTAGACTTAGGGACTATTAAAACTATATATTTAACCTTATTATTTTACGGATACGTATTCCTGTACATGGTAGCTAACTGGCTTCCACTACTGTGTATTATTATTATTATTATGACTTAATAGCACTGGAAAATTCAACATACGTGGACATAATAAGTGAAATGTATAATAGCATATTCAATCTTTAAAAAACAGGTGGGAACACTTTGATGTTTGTAGACAAACTGATAAAACACTTGGAGCTAATTACACATTTTGACAGAGCCTTCAGACAGAAGAACAATAATAAAAAAAGCACATTAGAGTTTACCTTACCAATAACTGCAATACAGAACACATTAACAAAACACTAGTATTAGATGTGACTAGATCTGGATAAACAATTACATATGCTACACACTCTGTAAATCTGGAAGATTGCACTTGTAATCTGGGTTGTACTTATTAAAGGGGGACTCTCACTACCCAGTTTATTTCAGTTTTTAGCAATTATGTGCTTGTGGGGTTCCCTTTTATTTAGCTTGAGTTTCCAGAGTATCATGGAGTATACTTCCCAACAGTCCTGCATTAATTGGGACAGTCATGATTTTGGGCTCCTCTATCTCCTTTTTGTCATTGCTGTCTTGCTTCCAGATAACACCAGAGACCAAGCTAGAAAGGATTGTGCAAACTGGGGCTGGCCACCATGTACACCATGCTAACAGTCACATTTTTCAGATGCAGCCAGACTTTATTTTTCAAGTGGACCTGCTCTCACTGGATCACAAGTGGCATGAATAGTGCCACAGGCATTCTACTTTCTGTACCGCCATCCCCCATCCTGCTTTCTTATCTCCCAATTTAGGTATGGTATTTCCCTGTACTGGTCCAACAATATTAATGCATTTTTCATTAAAGGGTTACTCCAATCTCCATGACCATGTATGCTAAAATAAGTGGTCATTGTATAAGCACACTGTGTGCTGGCGATGGATATGGATAATGAGCTTCTCTTGCATGCAGTACTGTAAGCACACCTGCAAGGAAAAGCCAGTAGGACTGTGTGTGCTCACAATCCAGAGCACTTGCTCTTTGTATAATTCCCCCCTTAAAATCCAGCCCTCTCAGCCGGTCTACATTAGATCTTCTCTTTCTCTTCATTCCCTCCCCTTGTTCAACTTTCCCTCCCTTCTACCTCTCCTTGATTCAGATCGCCAGGATTGGTAGCTCATTGGTAGGATTGGTCACTCATCTCATCTTCGCACTTGTGAATACTAACACCGTGTGCATGCATGGTGTTGCTTTTGATGCTTCTAATAGAGAAGCATTGGATTCAGTACTTCTCTACCAGAAGAAGATTATCCTCACCCATGTGCCCTAGGTTCAACAATGCCTCTCTATAAGAAGCATTTGATTGGACTATAATAAAGAAACCAGTGACTTTGCATGACGACGTGGCGTGAAAAAGGGTAGAGGAGTACTTACCCCGGCACTCGATTTGAGGTAAGTTTTAACCTTATTTTATACGATTAGCATTTAGAGCAATGTGTCACTAAGGGATTTGCATATGTACAATGTGCAGAACTTCTTTTTAAATAGCAGTAGCTGAAAAGAAAACACAAAAAACAGACAAACTAAAAATAATACAAAAAAGGGAGAAAAAGGAATGTTTCCTGACAGTTACATAATTAATATCCTTATTTGTGCTCAAAGTGTACAGGTCACCTATGTTTTTAAATACTTTTTTTTCTCAGAGATTCAGTTACTGCCTGGTGAAAACAGAATGTTCTGTTTCTCCAGCTGATGTCACTAGTCCTCTCAATGACCATGGATTACATGTCATAAACCCCATCCCTCAAAGTAACAGTTGCTATGTATGAAAGAATATTAAATCACTTAACAAGTCAACATACTAATACAAGTGAACAAATGAATGGAGTTAATATGCACACACCACACTATTTATACTTTAATTATTCACTCTATTTCTAAAGTCCACACAGTCTGTTGAAGGTCTGCAGTTTTCCAATGAAACCATGTTACCCTTGCTCCCTGTAATTTATCCTTATGCCTATACATCCTACTTTGTAGACTATTGCAAGTAGCAAAATATGGAAACAGAGGGCATTCTCAGAGCTCACCACCACTTTATGCACTAATGTCTTGCACATCGTACCCAGGGCTGGGTTTACATGGTAGGTGCCTCTAGGTACAGAATTCTAAGGTGTTCCCCACCATCCCTCAAAGAAAGACAAAAAAAAAGAGAATTTAGATTGCAGGCATACAAAAGTTTATAAAACATACATTCGTATCTAATAACCGCACATACATGTAAGCATATTTCTGCTTGGAATGCATTTTGTATGAATCTGTGAATACATACAACTGTGTAAATGCATACAGGGTTAGAATACGTTTTAGATGTTGTTAGGGTATAGGACAGTTTAAAGTCAGAGCGGTATTAACGTCAGTTTGATGACATGTTAGTGTTAAAAGGAGGGGTGTTTCGATTTATTGGGTTTAGTGTGAGAGCGGAGTTAAATGTAGTACTTGTGTACAGGGGGTATTTAATATTATTGAGTTTAGGGTTACTTAAGAGTTAAGTTTTTAGAGATTACATGTGTTAGGTAATATTAGTATTAGGTTAGTGCTCATAACACTCCTGATTTTGGGGTCCTGTCCTGCATTCCCAATTTCAATCTCTGGTGTCCCACCTCTGGGTATACCAGGAAATTGCTTAAATACCCGGTTGATGAGTGATCTGCCTAAGGTGAAGCACAGGTAATAGCCACAGAAGAAGTCCAGCCCCCAGTGCTGCAGACATAGCAAAGTATAGCAAGGATAGAATTACTCAAAATAATAGTCACTGGCTGTCTAGATTTCACGGTGAGAACCGTGACACCCAGCCCCTTTGTGTGAGTCTGTGTTCCCTTCCCCAGCCCCACTGCGTATGTCACTGTTGCCTTCCTCAGCCTTGTTGCGTGTCGGTGTCTCCTTCCCCAGCCCTTCTGTGTGTGCCACTTTTCCCTTCCCCAGCCCCTCTGAGTGTCTCTGTGTCCCCTTCCCCAGCCCCTCTGTCTGTGTCACCCCCTCCAGCCCCTCTGTGTGTGTCATTGTCACCTTCCCCAGTGTCATGTATTCATCCACTTATAAAAATGTGATTAATGGAATTTAGTGTTTAGACAGGAAAAGTTGTGCCGAGCAACATTACTGTCCTAACAGGAAAAGTTGTGCTAAGCAGCAATCAATCCACAGGTGGTTTTGTGCTGAGCAGCAATCATGCAAATAGGATCCTGGTAACTGCCTTTGGGGTCAAAAGCCGGTTTCAACCAATCAGATCCACAGGCGGGGTATTTAGGCCCAGTTCTCCTCTTGCTCAGTGCCCTGTCGTGGTTTCCTTGTGGTTGTCCTAGAACGCGTTATTGATTCTGGTAATTCTGGTTATTTGATTTTGGCATTGTTTTTGACTTCCCTGTTTTCTGGCACTCCTGACCCCTGGCTTTTTCCTTATCGTTGTGTCTCTTTCTGTATCCCTTGACCTCGGCTTTTCCTGACTATTCTTTGGTACGTTGGTCTGGCCATTCTAAGGTCCGTATATAGGTATATGTTACCTATCAGTCCCGTGTTACACAATTCTACGTGCTGGATCATACTGTAATCCTGACACCCAGCCACTCTGTGTTCCCCATTGCTCGCCTGTTCACCTACCTGTGTAGCACATTATGTCACCAGGTAAAGGTTACAGAAGATACTCTATCCACAGACTTAGCAGCATGCAACAAGAAGTGACTGACAGTAGAGGTAGAGGTAGCACTATGCACTCTACTTTTTTTTTTTTTTTTTCAAATTGATGTTTTATTGTTTTAATCAAGATGGTTCAGGGTACAGAAGAGAAGGTAGGAGGGTTAGTTAAACATATGTCACTTTCGTCGTAACATTAATGGTTATTTAACAGCATAATACAGATACGTGTTGAACATTTTTTTCATCATTACCTTAACAATAAACTACCAATAGCGAGATAAAGCATTAGTTGTCTTACTGCTCCTCTTGTCTTCTCGAGAGTGTAGAAGTTAGGTACCTGTTTTGGGGGTTCAAGAACCTGGAAGGGGGGCTGAAAAATGAAAGGGGGGGACTATAGAGGAATTGGGAGGGATAGGGGGGAGGGATATGTGCGTGAGTAATACCTGTGGCCGTTTGGTTGGTATCTTAACCTAAGGTCAGTGTTATGGTGGGGGAGAAGGGGTAACTCAAGGTATGCTCCTATTCAGTGCTTTTGGCAAAGTTTGCCAGTGTTTGTGTCCTTTCTTTTATCCCTCCAAACTCCTTCTCCCATTTTCCCCAGGTGATATCAAATTCTTGCATTTTTTTCGAGGATGTAATTGCAATTCTTTCATATGTGCGAAATTGCTCTACTTTATCTTTCAACTTGGGAAAGGAAGGGCAGTCTTGGGATTTCCAATTAAGTGCTAGGAGATTTCTTGATACTAGTAAGACTAGCGCCATGATTTGCCTTTGACCTGGGTTTAGTCCTGCCGGGAGCAGTAGCAATAGGCAGATGGATGCTGTCAGTTCAAATTTTGGGATATCTAGTGTTTCCAAGATTGACCATGCTGTGGTCCAGAAAGGTTGAATGTCTCTGCAGGACCACCACAGATGTAGTAGTGTGCCCGAGGCTGAATTACATCTCCAGCACGTTGGGTTTGTCGTGGGGAATAACTGGTGGAGTCTGTGTGGGGTCATGTACCAACGGTACATGAGTTTCCTATGGGCTTCTATGTGTGAGAAGCACTTAGTCCATTTGGACAACCCGTTTAATGCATGGAGCCACTCTGTGTCTGACAGTATTACACCACAGTCCTTTTCCCGTTGGGCTTTGTCCGAATGTGGTTTTGTTGGTGTGAGTTCTTGCCAGATTTTATAGCACAATGTTAATATTTTAGGTTTGTTAGGTGAGGACCAACATCTATCAATGAGCAGATGCAGGGTAACCTGTGGTGGGCCTTTTGAGTTGTGCGACGGTATCGCATGTGCTTGCAGTACACTTTTCACCTGCAGGTATGAAAAGGTGGCTCGAATCGGAAGTTGCCACTGTGACTGTAGTAGTGGGAAGGGTGTTACTTTCCCGTCAGTTATCAGTTGGGATATGTTTGTGATTCCTTCCTTGTGCCAGTCTTGGAGTGGGATATCTGGTACTACTGCTCTGAGAGTCGAGATGGGCGATTTAGGGTGGAAGGAGTTATTGTAACCTATTGCTCCCATGAATTCGTCCCACACTGCTATTGTAAGTTGGGTGGTTGGGAGGAGATCTTGTCGCCTTGGTCTTAATTGCTTGGGCGCCCATAGATACTCAAGTAGGGATTGATTACGGAATTGTGCCCTTTCCATGTCCACCCATTGAGTTGTGTTAGGTGGAGCATGTAGAAGAACACCTGAGGACAGAATTGCTGCCCTGTAGTACTGTCTGATATTTGGGAGGCCGACACCACCAGAGTGGGTGGCGGTCTGTAGGAGTGCCATAGACACTCTAGGTTTCTTGTCCCCCCAGATAAATGCACTACACAATTTTTGTAATGTTTTGCAGTATTGGTTGGGAACTCTGAGGGGAAGCACTCTAAAGATGTAAAGGATACGGGGCAGGATCATCATCTTGTAGGCGTTAATTTTCCCTAACCAGGAGATCATTGTATGTTTCCATTTGTTAATTTCTGTTTTGCAGAGCGTAAGCAGTGGTGTATAATTTAGTGTTAGAGTGACTGAAGTAGAAGGCGCAACCTTTATCCCTAAATATGTGATGGAGGTAGTTCTCCAGTCAAATTTGTATGTGGTACGGAGGGAGTCTGTTAGGTTTTTTGGTAAGTTGATGGGCAAGGCCTGGGTTTTGATTTAGTTTATAATATGAGACACTTCCGAATTGTTGTATGAGGTTTAACATATGGGGTAGGGAGTGGGTAGGGTCCGTCAGTGCTATGAAGCTGTCATCAGCGAACAGGGCTAGGATGTACATCTTGCCTCGTATAGGAATCCCTTGTATGTCAGGGTGTAGTCTGATTTTACAAGCTAGGGGTCCCAGGGCCAGTATATACAGAAGGGGGGATAGGGGACAACCTTGGCGGGTGCCGTTTGTGATGGAGAAGGGGTTTGACAGGAAGCCTCCATGGGAGACTCTGGCCGCTGGATTGTGGTATAACGCCATGATACTTTTTATGGTAGACACAGGGAAGTTAAATTTGTGTAGAGTCTTGGCCATATACACCCAGTTTAAGCGGTCGAAGGCTATTTCCGCGTCAAGTGCGAGGAAGAGGCCCTTCAAGTGCTGACAACATGTTCAGAATTTTCCTGGTGTTGTCGGAGCCTTGACAGCCTTTTATGAACCCCAATTGGTCATTGTGTACCAATTTGTGGAGGAGAGGGGCCATTCGGTTGCTGATGAGTTTAACATAAATTTTGACGTCTCCATTAAGAAGGGAGATAGGCCTGAAATTTTTGCATTGGGTCGGGGTTTGCCAGGCTTAGGGAGGGTGGATATATGGGCCAACAGCATCTCATCTGGCAATGCACCCGCAGTAGCACAGTGATTTAAAAGATTTAGAAGGTGTGGCGTAAGGATAGTTGAGAATTTCTGGTAGTAGGCATTCGTGAGGCCATCGGGTCCTGGGGATTTGTGGGCTGGGAGTTGTGATACTACAGCTGTGAGCTCATCTAAGGAGAACGGTTTTTGTAGAAGGTCTAGGTCTCCGTCCTTTAGTTTCGGTAAATCGAGGTCTGTTAAAATTTTGTCAATGTCATCATGGGTAGGTAAGAACATGTCGGGGTCATTTTTGAGATTGTACAACTCACTGTAATATTTTGCAAACAGATCTACAATACTTTGTGGGTTCAATGTCTTCTTCCCCTTATTATCTATTAGGAAGGCAATCCTGGAGGCGACACTCCTCTCCTTTAATTGTGATGCTAACTTGGCATCTGCTCTGTTGCCATTGGTAAAGAAGTTGTGTTGAGCTTTGCATAAGAGATACGTTGTTTTGGCTAACTATATGTTTTTCAATTGGCTTTGGAGGGCTAATAATTTTTTGTAAGTGGTCTTGCTTGGTTCTCGCTTTTTGGAGTGTGTCAGTGTAGTGATTTCTGCTACCAGCGAGTCATATTTTGCCATCCTTAGTTTTTTGGCTCGACTGGCATGTTTTATGAGACTACCCTGTATGACCGCTTTATGTGCTAGCCAGATTTGTTCTATAGGGGAGTCATTTATCGTATTTTCAATGAAATAATGCTGTAGGTCTGTAGTGATCTGTGCGACTATGGAGGGATCTGTCAGAAGGGACTCGTTAAGTCTCCATGTGCCTGTCCCTTTATTGGGGAATGCTTCCTTAATACTAAGGGTGATAGGTGCATGGTCAGACCATGACATTGTTCCAATAGTAACTTCTTCTATGTTAGGCATTGATGTGGCAGGAATGAGGAATCAGTCTATTCGAGAGTAGCTATTGTGTGCCACTGTATGACAAGTGTAATCCACCTCTGTGGGATGGAGGATGCACCATGGGTCCACCAAGTGGTGGGAGGCTAGCGTGGTGCAGATTTTGGCTGCTAGAGCCATTCTTTGCCGCATGGTGCCTTGTGAAAGCCCTGTAGCAGTGGACGAGTCAGACTCGCCATCTAATAAAAAGTTTGTGTCACCTCCAATAATTACCTCCCTATATTTATACATGTCAAGTAGTGCCAGAGTCAAGGTTAAGAATTCATGTTGGTTCTCATTAGGACTGTAAATGTTGACCAGTGTGTATGGAGTATTATTAAGGAGACATTGCAATATTAGGTATCGCCCTTTTCTATCATTTATCTTGCGGACTAGAGAAAACACTACATCTTTGCTTATTAAGATGGAGACGCCCCGTTGTTTGGCTGTATAGCAGGTGTGGAAGTCATGGTGGAACCATTTGGAGGTAAATTTAGGCCTATCTTTCCACCTAAAGTGTGTCTCCTGGAAGAATGCCACTAGAGCGCCACATTTTCTAGACTCCTGTATGGCCAACCTGCGTTTGTTCGGGGGGGTTAAGCCCTTTCGTGTTTAGTGACATAATTTTAATCACCATAAGGTAGTTTAAGGTGCGCTGTACTCCTAGATGTTAAAGACTCAAGGTTTTGTTGTAAGTCAGGTATGGTGCAATTTGTGGATATACTCACAAGGGAAGGGGGGGAGCAACAAGGTAATAACTATATACAATACTCCGTGTGTCACCATGTGGTGGCATTGGGGTGCGTAAAGCAAGGACAGTTAAGGCTACGTAGGCACCTTGGGGGTGGCCCACTTGGGGCAAAATGTCGAGATCTACAACGTATATGATCTACAACAATGCAAAGGTTCAAACATAGAGAGTCCGGGGGTTATCTCACCCGATCGCGGCCTGGGTCATGGGTCTTTTAACCGACAATTATAGAATAGAGTATGAGGGGGTCAAGTAATTAAATATAACTATAAAACCTGTACTTTCAATCCATTCATGGCTATGGTCTGGCAGTTTCTTCAGGACGGTGAGGTTCTGCGGTCCGTGGGTGTGAGTGAAGCCTTCGTTGTTTGTTCCCAGTCTTTAGTGAGAGATTTTGGTGCCGTGGTCGGCAGCGGCTTCTTGGGGCTGCTGGCCTGTAGTGGAATGTTCCATTCCTGGAGGATCTATTTCCCATCATCTGGACTGAGTATTGGTTTGTCTACGCCATTCCGTTTGATTAACAACTTTGCAGGGAAGCCCCATTTGTAGGGGACATTTGCTGCTTGTAGTGCTGCAGTGATGGGTGCAAATGTGCGGCGTGCGAGCATGGTTGTTGATGAGAGGTCTGTGAAGAGTTTGATGTCTGTATAGGGGTCAGGCCAATGGCCTGCAGTTCTGGCTGCTTGCATGATGCGGTCTTTGACAGGGTAGTAGTGAACCCTTGTAATGGTGTCTCTCGTTGTTTCAGGTGGGAGATGTTTGGGTTTGGGGAGACTGTGCGTTCTGTCCAGGATTAGCTCTGAATCAATTAGTGAGGGAATAAGCACTCTAAATAAGTCCTGCACATATCGGGGTGCAACAGATTCTGGGATACCTCTTATGCGTATATTATTTCTTCGGCTTCTGTCCTCCTGGTCGGCTACTTTGCCTTCCAATGCTTTTATTTTTTGTGTTAGGGATGTGTAAGCCTCTGCCATGGAGTTGTGTGCATCTACTAACTCCTGTGTGCGCTCTTCTAGACGCTCTGTGCGTTCCCCTATGCTGTTGCTATCTGACCTGATATCTACTGCTATCTGCTGTAGGTCTGCTTTGAATGAGGCTTTCAATTGGTGCATGATCGATCGGATAGAGGAGTTCGTCACTGGGCTGTCCTGATTGTGTCTGCTGTCCCCTGCTTCATAATCACATGCTGGGGATTTGGGCCTATCGGCGCCATCTTGCTCATAATGCTCCATTGCTTGATTCTTCTCCAGGTGGGCATGTATAGTTTTCTGCTTCATTTTTTTTTGCGGTTTTGTCGCCATTAGGTAGGAGGTGAATTCCCCTTGCGGTTTATTAGTTTAGCCGGTGTTTCATCAGTTGCTGTGATAGCCGCGGTTTCGGAAGAGCTCCGGTCTCACGTCCACTCACATGTGCGGTCAGGACATGCCCCTATGCATTCTACTTTTGATGGTCACCCGGTGTAGCGGAACTGCTATCCTGAGACTGAATATCTCCGCTGGAATCCTCTAGAGCAGGAAGAAAGTGCAGTTCAATGATTATAGCCCATTCCCCCAGTAACTGGATGACACACAGTTCTAGGTGTCAACTGAGGTTTATTGTGGCACACTCAGCTTTTTAGGCCCGGCCTCGCAGCATGGGATCTGCACAGAAAACAGTACAAACCCCTCATAGGCGTCTCTGTGTCTGGGAGAAAATTGTGTCAATGAAAGGCTAACTCAATTATCTCTCAGTTACAGGAAACAGTACAATTTTACACAAAATACCCCCAAAGCATATCAAAATGATACAGGAACCCCACAATTCTTATATCCCCGAACAGCACCCAAGTTGTCCAAATAGCGCTCAGATCCATTCGGTATAACAGAATCAGTATTCTGGGGAAATTTTGACCAGCCAGCCACGAGAGGATGACCTAAAATAGTTCCAGAGAATTGAGGGCAATGGCCTGTCTCATTTTGGGGGTTCCCATATGAACAGCGACGAATGCCCCCTCTGGCTCGTAAGGGGGCGAATGCTCCAACTAGTCAGTAGTTCCTATTTACCGAATGTTGTTCGTCTAGCTGCTCAGGAAGTTGTACGGGCAGCGGTACAATCTTTGTCGGGGTTTGCTAGATCGTGTAGCCGAAATAAGTTTGACGCACTCGACGACCAAGTACCGCTGCCTGTGTTCGGAAGACAAAATGGCTACCCAGGGAAAGCACTTGAGTTAATCCTTTAATTGCGGTTAACAGCCATGGGTGGTCGGTGTTCTAAACTAATAAAAAGGGGGACCACACATGTTCTGTTATAGGGGGGTACACATAAGTTTGGGAAACTCGAAGATGGGTTCAGGCAACCCCAGGGAATTTTACAAGGTCTGCCACACCGGGAATCCAGACATTGTGCCCTTCCAGCCTAGTGTGCACTAGGCAGCTGTCTTGTTTACCTAGCCGGCCCTGAGTACAGGCATGTGGAGTGTGACAAATTGCTCACATGTCTGATATTGATAGTCTAGCTAAAGTAGCGATTCTACAGTGTGCATTATTCAATGCAATCCCTCTTACTCCTTCAAAAAGCATTTCATGGCTGTTAGCTGGCAGATGGGAAATGATCCCTTACGCCTCACATACTGACACTAGAAGGGCTGGTACAGCACCAAACTGTAACTGTTCCATAACTCAACATAGAAGGCTGACCTCATGATGGCCTCGTGATGAAGTAACAATAAATGTTCTAGTATCTGATGTCATATGGAGCATGTGCATTCATTACTAGAATGCAGTGGGCAGGAGAGCAGTGGACCTACAGGGTTATTAACTAAAGTGAGAATTCATAGTATATTTCAAATGTAAGGCCAAAGTAGCTGAAATGGAAGTATAGAATTTTTCTAGTTTGGCTATTTTGATCTTACATTTGAAATTGTCCTTGAATCCTCACTTTAGTTAAAGACCCTGTTAACAATTTACATCTAACATTTCACAGATTTGACTGTCATTCTTCTACAATCTTTTTTTCTTTTTGAGGTATTTTGTTTACCTACAGACATTAACCTGTAATTTGATATCCACTTAGCTATTCATAGACATATTAAGTCATTAATCATTGTGTTTACATTTCTACCCAACCCAGAGAATGTCAGGGCAGATACATATCTTTAAGTCATCTGAAAAATGACATTCTTCCCTCCCAGACTATTCCTTATACTAGGCATGCAACTTACTAAAAATAATGTCGGCAGAGATCTCATAGCTTATATTTCCTTCTTAGCTTTTTCTTATCTACTATTTAAAACTTTGCAAAGAGCTTTTATAAAAATATTTTTCTTGATCTTATCACAACAAAAACAAAGTTTGTGTTAATATAGATAACCTTACTAAAGCATTCACTGAAATAAAATTGTGCCAACCTGTTTTATTACAGCACTTAAGATAGCAGGTTAAAATACTGTACTAACTTTATTAACTGGTATGTACAAAAATGTACTGTACTACTGTGGAATTATGGACTGATTAAAATATAGATATTGTTTTATATTGCATCTTTGATATTTTGCTATTTAGAGACATTCTAGTGTGTTTATCACTTTCCTTAAAGGTTTATTTCAACCCTTTTGGAAAGGGGGACCTTTCCGGTGTAAACAGGGCCGGACTGGGACAAAAATTCAGCCCGGGCAATTAAAGGCAGATCAGCCCACTATTAGGGGCGGGGCCAGAAAGGGGGCATGTCATGTCACCACCATTGACACGCACACCCCCTTCCCCCCCACCAAATGAGTATGTTAATGTGACGCTCCTCCAGAGCATCCAGTGCTCCTGGCTAAAATAAATGCCATGAGGTTTTTCTAGGGGACAAGGGGGGTTGAGTTTGTGCTGCGTTTGCTGGCGATTTGTCTCTGGTGTCCTCAATAGTGGGATACCAGAGATCAAAACAGGAACCGGACTGTTAAAGAGTGTTGTGCATGTGTGGGGATGTTCCTTGTGTTGTTGTATATGTTTGGACATTGCATGTGTGTAGAGCAA